AAAAACAAACTGAGGGTTCTAGAGGGGAGGGGGGTGGGGGGATGGGTTAACCTGGTGATGGGTATTAAGGAGGGCATGTTCTGCATGGAGCGCTGGGTGTTATACTCAAACAATGAATCATGGAACACTACATCAAAAACTAAAGATGTAATGTATGGTGATTAACATAACATAATAATAATAATAAAAAAAGAAATTCCAAGAGTTTTAGGAGCTTTGGTATGCCAGAACCAGGGACAAAGTCCAAATATCTTTCTCTGACACTACATTCATATTTTTTAATGGTTCAAAACTGGTGATTTGGTCATCTTTTACATACACACCCAAATCCCTCCTCTTTTGAGTTATCACTATACATTTTGCATGGCACTTCAAGCCATCTTTTTTACATTTTACAGTTGTCTTGGACACAACATCTCTTCAGCAAACGTCCGTATAATGAAGGAAACATAGAGATATTTTAGTCCAATTTCTTAATTTTACCAATATCTTCCAGGTTAAAATAAGAAAAGTAAACTGTTATTGCAGGGATAGCTTGCACTACACTATTTCAAATTTGTCACCAACTGCTTTAAGTGTACGATTTCACTTTCTATAAGTCTCCTGCCCTGACCCTGGCCCCATTCCACAGTAAGACAGTAAGTTCCCCGAAGAGGGGGCTCTTCTTTGTTCTTTTTCAGGTCCCATAATATTTATTGTGGATCTTGGACTTTCAATCAATGTTTACTGATGGGTACCCTGAAGAGGCCCACTAATAGAGGAAGTAAGCCAGAGATTTGAGGGATCTTTATCCTTAAGCTATAATTACTCATCAGCCTTTTCTTTCCAGTACAGGCAGGGCGGAGGAGACCAGGGAAAGGGAGAAGCACACTCCCCGCTGAGCCCAGATTCTGATGCGGAGGTCGATCTTGCTACTCCAGGATCATAACCTGAGCCAAAGGCAGACGCTTAACCAACTGAGCCACCCAGGTGACCTTCATCAGCCTTTTAAAAGGGGGGTTATTGACAACTTTCCTTCTTATTCTAAAAATTATGATGTAAATGAATACACATTTACTGGATTAATATCTAAAGACAGAATGAGGTATTAGCTCTCTTAGTAATAAATGTACTTTATTAGATGTTTTCTGACAGAACTAGGTTTGGAGAAATATGGTATCATTTATGTTAAATTCCAAGTCAAAAGGCAATATTCTATGCTAGAGTGGAATTTGGTGGCATATACATAATGTGGAATTCTTGTCACTGTATATTAGAATGGCTGCTTATTCAATCTAAATTTACCATGAAATGCTCAAGAGTGGTACAGAAACAGAGAAGTTGTAGGTGGCCTCAGAGAGAACTGTGGCCACGGTCGGAGAGGAAGGGGCTGAATGATCTCCTCCTTACCATGTGAGCCCACTAGGGACCCAAAAGCAGTTGAGAGAGAGCTAGATCTAATGATGTCTAATAGTGGTTAAGGCTGAGATACAACTCAGGAGTCATTAAGCTGATAACCTCAGGCCCCGTGGGAGTGTGGATGTTGTAGCAGAAGCTAGTGAGAAGGAATGATAACCTTAAGAACCAGATGCTTCACTCCCACTCACTCCTACTCCTGGCAACTCAGCATTATGTTTCTCCCTGGAATTTGGAAAAAAGTTGGGTGAAGAGGGAGGACCCTAAATTTATCAAAATTAAATTTCCAACACACAGTAAAAAGGATGCATAATACAATGTGAGTTATTGAAAAATACTGTTTTGTTTCTTGTACTTCTGCAGAGATTTGTAAGTGCTATAGCCATCAAGGAGGTGATGGGGTTCAGAGCAGTCTTCGCGGGGGGAGCAGGTATCAGAACTGAGATGTAGAGTGGATAGAAATGGGCCAGATGGACTAGGATATTAGCAAGAGTGATAAAGCACAAGAGGAAAGGTATGCCCAGCAGAAAGGATGAGCTCATGAAAAGCCCTGAGTACGGAGACAATTAGGGGTTCTCGCTAGAAATATTATCATTTTAGCATTTCTATAAATTGAGCACTAAGTGTGAAAGGAGTAGTGAAACAGGCGCTAGAGGGGACAGGGCAAAGAGTATGGACGAAGTTGTATGTGACTTTGTTTGACTAATGAAGACCACAGGGCGCTGGCCCCTGCTTATCTCTTTAGGCTCCTGACATTCCATACTCCTCTTGTTTACTATGCTTTAGCCAGATTACCTTTCAGTTCCTCAAAGGTGATAAGCTTCATCTCACCCCAGGGACTTTAGACTATTCCTTTTCCTTACACTTCCCTTCCTCCTGACACATTAAATTCACTCGTACTTGTAGACTAAAATGATCACCCTAAAATGATCACCTTGGAAAGCCATATACTTATTTATTGATATTATTTGGTGTAAACAGTTTCCATACTTATCTTTAGAACCTACTTATGAACCCTATCAGAAAGCCCATCTTGTAGCTTGTACTCAGACTTCCTTTTTTTACCTAAGTGGTAATATAACACAGAGCATTATACACTACCAGGCTTTGGTTGATGTTTGTCTGTTTCCAGAAACCAACTCTGTCTCTAATGGTGGAAGAGGGACAGTTGTTAAGTTTCTTCAAAGAAATGAACCATAGGCCCTGAAGGTGACTGAAATGTGAGTCATAGAAATATTTTAAGCATGGAGCACCTGGGTAGCTCAGTTGGTTAAGCGCAACTTGGTTGAACTTGGTTGAACTCTTGGTTTTGGCTCAGGTCATGATCTCACGGCGGTCGTGGAATGGAGCCCTACATTGGGCTCTGCGCTCAGTGTGGACTCTGCTTCAGATTCTTTCTCTCTCCCCCTCTGCCCCTCCCACTCACTCTCACTCGCACGCTCTCTCTCTCTCAAAGAAATAAAATCCTAAAAAAAAGAGAAATGTTTTAAGCAAAAGCAGTATATCATTGGAGTGAGTACTCTTCTAATGTGGTTCATTTGAATGTTTGCATGTGCTTATTAGAACAGAAGCCTCATTATCTTTAATGTCACATCTGATGGACTCACTGGTGAGGTGACTTAAAAAGACCTATTTACTCGAGTATGTGGTAAGCAAAACCAAAATATTTGCTTTTGTAACACACACTCATATACCACACACACGTACACACCACAAAAGTAGCTATGCTGGTGGGATTCGAGTTTAACTATAGAACCCAGTGAGTTCAGAATTAAATCACTTAGATTATCATATCTTAATCTCACTGACTACAAGACAAATGTGGTAATAATTCTTTAGCCACTCAGTCACTACAAACAAGTAAAGATAAGGGAATGTATCTACCTCTTGAGGAAATAACTCTTTTGAATTCTATGAAGGATATTTCAGTTTTAACGTACACCACTTCCTATTAACAGAAAAAAAGAAATCAAAGTAAAATGATCCTGAGAAAATTAAAAGTAGGGCGCCTGGGTGGCTCAGATGGTTAAGTGTCTGCCTTCAGCTCAGGTCATGATCCCAGAGTCCTGGGATCGAGTCCCGCATCGGGCTCCCTGCTCCTTGGGAGCCTGCTTCTCCCTCTGCCTCTCTCTCTCTCTGTCTCTCATGAATAAATAAATAAAATCTTTAAAAAAAAAGAAAATTAAATAGTAAAATTTTGTCCCTAATTGGGGCAATTAATAATTGGAGGAAATCAATATCAACGGAAGACATTTTAATGTTTTATTAGTTTTACATAGGTGACAAAAACAACAGAGCAATGGCACAGTAAATGGTTCAAAAGGAATATTCATTAAGCAACATTACTGAAATGAACTGAACATGATTTAATTCATCCAAATTACTTTTAGTATCTAAGACATGGAACTGGTGCAGACGAGCTTGTGTTCCAGGGCTTTATCTCCTGTATGGTCACATTTCCCCTAAATCTGGCCATAGTAGTTCACACACTGTGGACTCTCAGTGAAGACTGATGGATAAGAAGCTATGGCTTAAGCTCTTAGGGTAAGGTGAGATGCTTTGCCAGAAAAATACTCCAAAGGAAAGACATTTCTCTAAGGTCATCTTATTATCAGTCGATGTCTTAAAGCCTCAAAATTAACAGTATTTTTAACTTTCTTTCTAGAAAGTATCTAACTGAACCTTTGCAATCTCATTGATTTTATAATTTTCATTGGCAGCAAACTCCACGTATCAGCTAGACGCATACACACACAAATTTATTTTTCCCCATTTAAAATCTTCTACCTATTAACTTTAGAAAATCCTTTGAACTTTTTTTATTTGGGGGAAATAATACTATTGTTCTTTATGAGATTTAATCGGTGGTCCTTTCTTAGTGTGTTCTCACTTATCCTCTTTCCCCAGAATGCTAAGTAGCAGTGGACTTCAGTTTTCATTGAATCTCTCAAAGAACTGGTTCAAGTGAGTGGACTTGGTTCATCATCCATGAACTAGACGGTGGGGGGAATCCTCTGAAGAAAGTTCATGCAGGTAACTTGATAAAATATAACAAACTTGATGTAGATTCCTTTTCTTTTCCTTCATGTCAATGGAGACTGTCTTATGGTTTAAATAAGCTATAGGGAACTTTTTCTGTTCACAGGCGCAACCAAGAGGCCAGTTTAGAGTTAGAGGTGTACAAAGAGCCCTAGCATGGGATACAAGTGATCTAGGTTTTAATTTTTGGCCAATCACCAAGTTGTTATATTGTGCAAAAATAATTCATCCAATTCCTTTGGGTGTTAGTTTCTTTATCAGTTTAACTTTGTCTTAAGTAGCTTATTTGTAACCAAAAATCATATGAAGGATATAAGTATATCTTGATTATTTTTACTGCTTCTGTATTTAAGATTCCTGGAATGAAAAAATTCAGGTCAGAAATTCTCATTTAAGATACCTTTGAGTAAAAGATTTTCAAGTATTTAGCATTGTATTATGAGCACTTTTCCTTGGCACTCAATTCATAAGATTAAAAGAAAACATAGACATTTTCAATAAAAATAGGAATATAATTTTCATCACTGTTATGATTCTTTAAAACAGGTTTAAAAATTTGATGCACTTGAATTTGAAAGGCTTTTGTGAAACTAATCAAACAACCTTCTAAGAAAAGATTTCTTGGCAGGAGTAAAAATTTTCCCAGAACCTTTTTTGTGGAGGGATTTCAGAGGAGGCTTTTTTAAGGGTAGGACTCTTTTGGGGGTTTGCAGTGCTCTTGCTATCTTCACATGTTCATTGCAGTAATATTTGTTGCTTCCTTCTGACAGATGAATGAGCGTGTCTTCTGCCAGATCCATGCACTGAGCATGGACCCAGTGCCCGTCTCCATGAGAACAGTAGATCATGGCCGGTTTGTTGAGCTCAGTTGAATAAAATGGTACCCAAGTGTTGTTATCCACATCACAAGTGGGACAGCATGTAATCCAGTAGCCTGTCTCAGACTCATCTTCCTCATCATCTTCATTATAGGTGTCAAATTCATCATCACCATCAAAGCTATATGCTTCTGCACTGAAACAAAATTCTTCTGAGTCTTCAAAGGGAGTGGAGTCCCCTGGGTCTTCTGTTGATGTCTGACTATTTGTGAGCGTTTTCTGATCTTCATTCACATTGTCTTCAGCACATTTCAACATATAGAAATAGAAAGCGTCTGAAGTAGCCTGTTTATTGTCTCCTGGTATGCCAAGGAGTACAGTTCCATTTCCCATGTTGCTCCCAAACCAGATCTTGCTGTGCTTAATATCTGGGGTCCAATCTGGGGTCTCCATCTCACGAATTTCTATCTTATTGTCCTCGAAAGAGACGATGTTGCAGACCATTCTCTTTTGATTTTCAAGCTGATAGCCACCAACAATAACAAACTCATCATTGTTTGTTTGAGTCAGGATTGCACTGGAGACAGAGATTCCTCCTGGCAAGACTGTGCAATTCACAGCTGGGCTACCCAGTGGGAGATCAACCTTTATTCTGTATAGGTTGGCAGGGCGGGTGTTATTGGCAAGTGAATGTCCTCCTAAAATATAAATGGTATCATTTCTGGCAATAGAGACATGAAAAGATAGCCCATCCTGAAGTTCTGGAAGTATATATGATGTAGAGCACCCAAATTCAAAATCCACCAAGAAAACATGGGGCAGACAGTCAGCTACACTATTCCATTTTTCTGTGGTTCTTTGGGAAGAAGGAATGTATGACCGTCCTCCAAAGAGAACACCTATACTTTTCCCTCGACTATACACCACATCAATGGAATGACCATATCTGGCTTCGGGAACATCTCCTACCAAGTCTTTCTCCGTGCAGCGAAAAGTAACTTTTTTGCTGTTCTTGCCAGCAATAGACATGACATAAATCTTATCTGAAAGCTCATTGTTTGGTGTTTTCCCTCCATGGATGATGTATTGATGCTTTTCAGACTCTAAGCTGCTTCTGAATATGCAAGTGGCCGGGTAACGAAGAGGAGGAAGGTAGCAGGAATCCTTAGAGAAAAGTGTGGGCTTCAGTTTGAGATGGTTATGCTTTACATCAAAATGGAAAACTCCAGTGGGGCAGGACCTCTTTGGCCAGCCTTTCTGGCCAAAGAAGAAAACTTGCCCATCAAAATTCATCAGTGAGAAGCCTGGTTGAATTAAGGCTATGTTATTACTGACTGTTATCATCTGTAGTGACATATTTTCTGATCCTGTGTAGATCTTTTATCTGAAAGAATTAAAAAAAATAACATATAACTCTTCACATAAATCACTTCACAGGTAAAAATCTTGTTAAAAAAAAAAAGTTCTTCCACAAGCTTGTAGTGGAACTGAATTAGCAAAATCCAGGCAGCTAGGTTAGCAACGAGGCACAGAACTTTCCTTCCCAGTACGATCAAGCAACTGGGACATGTTTTAGACAAGGACTATCCTCCCTTAGATTTCTGGGAATTGTAGTCCTTTTCTCCTCACAGATTCACCGCTTGTCGGCGGAAAGAACTACGTTTCCCAGGAATCCGTTCTCTATGTGTGGCTCATGTTTTTCTGGTACAGGAGAGGAGACTCCTAGGATGCCTCGCTGAATAAAGACGCTCAAAGTGCGAAGTGACTAGATGGGAGCCAAGGCGGAAAACTAGGGAATGGGAGGTGAGAGTGGCTGACGCAGACCCAACATCCGGGTTACGGGAAGGCCGCAGCACCAAGAGGGGCGTCAGGCGGCCCGTGGGGACTCTTAAATAGGTGACCCAGTAGGAAGCACAACTGCTTCTGGACCTAGTGGGGTTGCCTGGAAACCGCAGCCTAAAGGGACGCCCCGGTCGAGAAGTCGTTGCAGACTCCTCCCGCCCGGACGCTTTTGGGGACTGGATTCAGTTGCACCTCTGCAAACCCTAGGTTGCTGAGACGGAGGGGAGGGGGGACGGAGGTCCTGGTCGTGGGAGGAGGGGGACACCGAGGTCACAAAAGCTGTGACTATTTGACTATTTTGCGGAAGCCAGAGATCGGTCTCTGAATACCCGGAGTAGAGGGAAGAAATTATCTGATAATGATTTAGTAGTGGAAACACTGTAATTAGATCTTAGAAAGTGTCACGTCAAAGGCCCCCTGTTTTCCTCGATCGCTCTTGCTCACGTTTTTACGGTTCTTTTAGGGAGGCAGAGAAGATTCCTAAACACCTCCCTGCCTCCTCCACTCTCTTTTCTTCTCCTGCCCTCCCTTCTCTCTCCCTCTCTAGGAAAAATACAGTTAGTGGCTGTTTTTCAGATCTATCTTTCCAGGCCAAGACATTTGAAATAATTCTTTAGTAACTCTGTAGTAAGCAGACTAAGCAAAGAGGGGCCAGAATTATTCAGGATTTAATACTAGTATTATATATATATATTTTAAAAAAGTTAATTACTAGATGAAGTAAGCTTGATCAAATTTTATTATCATTACTTACCTTAGATTCCAGGAGCCTTAATAATGTACTCCCTGTTTGTAGAGTGAAGTCCTAGGCACCAAAGGTTAAAGGAAACAAAGTAGTACAGATTCCTGACTGTTAAGAGTAAATTGTTAATATGCTTCAAAAACAGTTTGAAACAGTGTCTCTGAATATGACTCTCAGTTCTTCAGAGTCTGGACTCTGAGGGCTGAAGGGCTGTATTCAAATCCTGTCTCTGCCACCTACTAACTCTATGAACTTGTAATTTAATATCTCACTGTCTCAATTTCCTCATCTGTAAAAATGTAATTACCTACCTCCTTGGTCAATGTTAGTTATGATTAGTAAATTGATAAATGTAAAGCACTCAGAACAGGGCTTTGTACGCTGTGATAGTTTTTATAATTATGTTTGACCTTATCAAAAGTAGGGTTGTTAGTACACAATTACCTGCCAGTCACGGCAGATGATATTTATAACGTTGGAAATGGTGAGATAGGATTTAGGATCTGGGATCTGATCAGTGGGTATAGATTGATTAGCTTTTTAGACTAATGAGAATTGGAAAAGCATATCAATGGAGGTGCTGGTGGTGAGTTCATTTTAAATAACAGGAACTAATTCATTTATTCTTCTGTTTCCCTTTCTCTAAACCCTCGTTAAATATGCAGACTTTGAAGTCTGAGTCCAAGTCTGGGCTCTGAAACTTAGTTGCTGTGTAACCATCTTGGGCAAGCTATTTTTATTCTGTTCTTTTCTGGAAAATGGGAATCGTTTTAGTACCTATTCATTGGGTTGCTTTGAAGGATAAATGGGATAACACATACAAGTCACAAAGCACAGTGCCTGGCATATAATGAGCATTTAATAAATGTTAGTTGACACTATATTTTTATTCTCCCTGCAAAGATTCCTTGGACCATTTAGAATCTATGGTCAGTCTAATGAGATGTTGGGCGGGGGGGAGCGTTTTGCCTTGAAGCACTTCTGTAGATCAGCTGTAATTAATTGCTAAATGTTCTCTTCTACTTAGTTTTAGTTTACTTGGGAGATTCCTTAAGGGGTGATATTTTAATAATCATCTTGTGGGTTATTAAACCAAGTGAGGACATAGTGAATGAGCAGCATTATTACTAAAGTTATGAAAGCACGCCTGTCTCTTCTTCAGACCATGGTGGTTTGTAGGTTCAGCAACTTGCCCTACTTAGGAAATAACATGGGTGTTTTCTTTATTCATGGCCTATCCAAATATACATAAAAGAAGGCTTATGGGAACTAAGAAAATGCTCTCCATAGGAATTAAAAGGAAATACTGCTAACCCTCAATTCAATAAATGAAAACCGTAAATGATTACACTCAGCATGGTATGTGATGATTGTCAGAAAGTTGTCCATTTTTGGGTGGAGGGAGCACTAAAGCCAAAGCCTGTTTGTTTTAAAAACCTCTGGAGACTGTTACTGGGATGTAGAGCAAGCCATACAGGGGTAATGGATTCCAGATCCCAAGGGATGAACATATACCAACAACACTTGCTTTTAAACAGCAAGCTTTTTTTTTTTAAGTTTTCATTGTAGCCTGTTGGCTTCATTTTAAGGTTGTCATAGGGAATTTGGCTTCTCATAAGTGAAAACATGATTACTGTAGATTAGCAGACACATATTCTTAGGCAAGGCATAAGGAATACTACCCATTTTTTGTAGCTTAGTTTGGGTCCCTAAAGATTTCTTACCTGTCCTCTCTTTGATGCCCTGCTCTTGGTACACCTCATGATTGCAGGGTCCTAAAAACAGTGGTGAGGTTTATTACCGTTGGGATGAATTATCTCATCTTGTAATACAGTTCCAGTATTTGTGCATTTAATTTTTAGAATACCCATTTTAAACCATGACCAGATGACTTAATGTATTTAAAGAATAAACAGGAACATTGAAAATGTTTTCACAAATTTTGCCATATTTATTTAGTTTTTGAAATTTGCTTTATTAACTTAAATATGTTTTCACTGGAGTAGGCTATTGTATACTTTCCACGGTCTTAATATGCTTATATTAGTCACATCTTGATTTTTAAGAGTTTTTGAAAGGTTATACTAGAACTAAAATAATCTACTTTCTTTAAATAGGCTGGATAAAAAAGGCAAATTTTGAAAAAGAAGACACTGTTCTTCAACCGGAGGAAGTTTCAAAGTCAACACATTGAAGATTCTTTTTAAAAGATAGAAATAGAGGACCAATAAATTTATACAATTTTCCCAACCCCATGCTAACATTCCTCAGCAGGGAGGTTTTCATTTATTCACTGTGAAGCTAGGACATAGCTGAGAATCAAAAGAAGACTAATGGTGTGAGGTCTGGGTTTGTAGTTTCCTGTGTCTGAACTCTTTTCCACCCAAAGAAAGGTACTATACCCTGAGGCATTAAATTTTACTGATCAGTGTTGCCCATGTTTTCCTGATTGTTCCAAAATAGCAGGTAACCTCATGTAATTGCAGTCATTCCATGCATGAATTAACGCTATCTTGCACAGCTAATCAGGTTCGAGGCATACATTATTTGATTTTTTTTTTTTTTTGCTGGCACTGAAGCCAGGATTAGGTCTTTTTTCTGACACTTATGCCAGAGAAGCATTTATATACTAAGATTAACACATGGGCTCTGATGCCACAGGAATTAAATCCTTGCAGCAGCCTGACACAAGAAAGCCCTATAGTTTCCAAATTTTATAGCATCCCCTCCCCATCCAGACACCCAATCCATCTGTAACTAACACGCTGCTAAAGGGGAGCATCACCTTTCCCTGAAAGTTGACAAACGTGGGTGCCCATCTTTTAGCTTTGGTAGAAATGAAGGTATTGGACCTACCTGAAGGCCAGAGGGGCTGCTCACCCCTCTCTGAATCTTTGCTGCTAAACCAGGTATTAAATGTCAGCACTTGGGGAAGATTCACTGATTGCTCACTCTGACCGTGGCAAGCAGAAGGCTCACAGTAAACAGAGTGTGTATATGTGCCTACAGATGTTCCAGTGAACACTGATCTAACGGGAGTAACTGACTGTGACCTTTTTTTTTTTTCTTGTCTTTAGATGGTTGAGGGAGATATCCACCAGGGTATACACTCAAGATTTAACTATTTCCTTACCAATCAACAATAGAAACACAATCCACTATTTGTAAAGACCAAAAAAAAAAAAAAAAATCTGGCTGAAACTTGATTTATATATTTATTAAAAACATTTTAGAAAAATATAGAAGAAAATGAATATAATTGCTATGACTTAAATACTACTATTAAGAATCCAATGGTAAAGTATTTTTGCTAAAGCAGAGACCACTAATACCAATGCCAGTCATTTTGATCTTGAATTGCTCTTCAATAGTCTCATTTTCTTTTTTTTTTTTTAGATTTTATTTATTTATTTGATAGAGAGAGACACAGGGAGAGAGGGAACACAAGCAGGGGGAGAGGGAGAGGGAGAAGCAGGCTCTCCGCTGAGCAGGGAGCCCGATGCGGGGCTCGATCCCAGGACACTGGGATCATGACCTGAGCTGAAGGCAGACGCTTAACGACTGAGCCACCCAGACGCCCCATGGGTCTCATTTTCTTTAATGCAACTCTCAGAAGTCATTCTAATTATTGGAGGCCTCCTACCAACTTGATATCAGGAGCTGCGGTGTAATACCGTACAGCAGCATGATTAAGAAAATGGGCTTTGGAGTCAAACTGACCTGGTTTTCTTTGCCAGGTCTGCCGTTTACCAGTGGAGTTATCTTAATCTCTAAGCCTCTGTTTCTCTCTCTCTGAAATGGGGATAATAGAAGTCATCACCTCAAAAGATTGTTGCAAAATGATTAAGTCAGATAATATCTTTAAAGTGCTCAGTGCCCAGTAAAAGTTATGAATGAGAGTTCCTGTTGCTGCACATCCTTGTCAGCATTTGGTGTTGTCAGTGTTCTGGATTCTGGTCATTCTAACAGCTGTGTAGTGGTAGCTCACTGTTGTTTTAGTTTGCATTTCCCTGATGACATATGATGTGGAGCGTCTCTTCACGTGCTTTTTTTGTCATCTGTATATCTTCTTTGGTCAGGTGTCTGTTAGAGCTTTAGCTCATTTTCTTAATCAGGTTGTTTGTTTTCTTATTGTTGAATTTTTAAGAGTTCTTTGCATATTTTGGTTAACAGTCCTTTATCAGATGGGTCTCTGGCAAATATTTTCTCCCAGTCTATGGCTTTTCTTTTTATTCTCTTGTCAGTGTCTTTGGCAGAGCAGAAGTTTTTAATTTTAGTAAGGCCATCTTATCAATTATTTCTTTGATGGATTGTGCCTTTGGTGTTGTATCTAAAAAGTTGTTGCCATTCCCATGAACTATGAACTTTATGGTTTTGCAATTTTTTGTTTAGGTCTGTGATCCACTTGAGCTAATTCTTGTGAAGGGTGTAGGTCTGTGGCTAGATTCATTTCTTACCTGTGGAGATCCAGTTGTTCAGAATTTTTGTTGAAAAGACTGCTGTACTGTCTTGCCTTTGCTCCTTTGTGAAAGATCAGTTGATTGTATTTATGTGGGTCTATTTCAGTGCTCTCGGTTCTGTTCTATTGATCTGTTTGTCTGTTCTTTCACTAATGCCACACTGTCTTGATTACTATAGCTGATTTAATTTTAAAACAATTCATTAAAAACATTTGCTTCAGGAAAAATACATACCACTCATGAGCCCATCACCTAAGCATAAAATTTTTTATTGATTTGGCTCTATTACCATGTTTATCCAAATATATACACATTTTACCTGGTTATAATTTAAATGCATTTAAATTTTGTTTTATCTTTTTAATATAACATTTCATATACACTATAAAATGTATATTTTATTTTTACCTTTGTAATTTTTAATAACTTCCTAAAATTCCATTAAGTAAATGTAACATAATTTATTTGACCATCCACCACTGTTGTTCATTTAATCAATTTCCATGTGGCTTAGAATGCATGATCAAAGGTAGACAGGTCTGGATTTGAGTCTCAGTTCTGCCACTTACTAGCTAAATGATCCTTTTGAGCTTCAGTTTCCTTATCTCTGAAACAGAGATGATACCTGCCTTATTGTAAAGATTAATGGATATAAAATGTCTGGTATAGAAGAGTGTACTCAGTAAATCTTGTCTGATGATGATGCTACTATAAATATATTTGTACAAGTGACTATTTTAATTCTTTGCAAAATTTTAGGATATATTTTCAGGGTTGACTTTTTAAAAACTGTTGAGTAGCTCCGTTGTTTGGCTGGTTTTCATCATTTGAAGTGTTGGCCCATCCTTTAAAAAAGCATCATCATCTCTTCTAGTTACTTCCATGATGATTTTTTTCTTCGTCTGCAAAAGAGTAGTGGATTATTTCCCTAACCTGTTTATGGTGTTGTATAATGATTATAGTACTTGAAATTCCAGCATCAGTGACAGCACTCATAAAGTTGACATATTGGATATCTCCACAGTAAATGCAAAATAAGAAATGTGACGTAGAAACCATGGGTATGTTTAGGCAAGTTTTTTCGTCTTTGTATTTTACTACTAACATCAGAAAACAGGCAGTTTTTTGCTGAATGGGTTATTTGTTTCCTGAAGCAGTTGGAAATTAGCAACACATTTGGAAATGGGTTTTAAAGCCCTCAGCCTTTGCCACACCATTAGGAGGGCATTGAACTTGCAGTGATCTCAGTCAAGATCCTAGTCTGCTAAAGTGCTCAGCATAGAAACTAAATGTGAAGTAATCAACAGTATTTACTGATCATCCACTATGTTCAGAGGCATTGGAGAATTAGAAAAATTATCACAGACACAGGACTTGCTTTTAAGGAACATACATGGTAATAGGACGAAGCAACTTTACATGCTTCTTACACTCACCCTTAAAATTCTTAAAAGTTCACCAAGAAATAATTGTGGGTTGCTCAGCCCATTCTTAAACCTTGAGGCAGAATCAAATTCAAACTTCCACTGAAATATGTTGATTTCTCCTACCTTACATCCAAAAACAGTGGATAATTAAAGAATGCAAGTCAGTGCAATTCCAGAAGAAAATAATTTTTATTTAGCAGGAGATGAAAGTATCAGGCTGTACTGACATAGTAATTGAACAATTAGGAAGCATAATTGGAGAAAAACAGAATGCCAGTGATGGTAGACAGCTTCCAAGTCCAGTCCCTTTAGTTTTACATTCAAACAGCTTAAGGCCAGAGAAGTTAAACCACATGACAAGGGTAACACAGCTGCGGGGGTGTGTATACATGGTGGGTTGAGGAGAGGCAGGAGAGAAGCACTCTTGTGTGAACTCCTGACTGTTTTTGTTCCTCTCAAGCATTTCCATCCCCATTTTATAAATGGAGAAACAAATTACATGGTTGCTTAATGAATTAATAAGTGTTAGTGACAATTTTTCATAGCATTCTGATAGGAATAGACAGTTTTTACTTTTTAAATAAGTGGCTAATTTTTAAGGAAATAATATAAATAGTATAGGAAAAGGAGATATTTGACTTGAGTGAATCCCCTAATGGGAGCTACAACTGGAACTGGCAAAGAGGGGAAAAGAGGAAGGAAGAGGAAATATATAGAAGGAAGCAATCTACAGTTAGTGTGATGGATTGTCAAGAGAAGAACGTGACAAATGACTTGTCACTTTTTATTTAGGGCAATTAATTAAATATGGTGACCTGACTGGGATGATTGGTATTTTCCTATGTTTCATTGTTCTGTGATTTAAGGTGGACTCTTTGCCGTAAAATAAAATGGAGAAAAATTTCAGAGGTGATTTACAATGTTGTACTAGAAAAAAAATTCACTTCAAAAAATTTCCTCCAAAGGAGGGATTTGGTGTTTCTTAGTTACTATCTTTGGATATAGAAGCCATGTTGGTGTATGTATGTTATGTTGTATACATTGAGGCAGAATTGCAAATGAAATGCTGAGATTAATTGGAAGCTGGGAAAGCACTGTACTGGCTCTTAAAGCTCATTTATTATTCCACAGTCATAGGAATTTAGAATAAAAAATAGTTGGGAAGTGCATCTTTAAAATCCTATTTCTTTTAAGAGAATGTCAAATGAAAAGGTCGATTTTATTAGCAAGATCTGGCATTTTGAAACACTTAGAAATGAATTTCTGCAGAGTTGATTTAGTTGGGTTTGTCTACCCCTGCTCCTAACTAGCTGTGTGGATTTTGCTTTAAAGCAAGCTTTCTGGTGTTGTAACAGTGCTGTGCACTGTGCAGGTGGCTGACAGGCTCAGGAAGCTGGAGAGAAGGGGATAACTTTAATTAAGAGCGAATGCCTTTGTGTTACAGTTGTTCTGCAGTAGAGAAAACATAAGCATTAATAGGACATTGCATCCCATGTGAAGGTGGGATTACAATTGAGCTAAAAAATCTCTTATGATTGAAATATTGTTGCATGATTATAGAGCTATAAAGTTGACTCAAACTCTACTGCTTCTACTGGATTCACAACTTTATTAGGGTCCTTGAAAAAAAATGTTCCATCAGAGACTTAACTGTTACCATCTGTAACTCCTGATGTAGTTGATTACATTTCTGAAGATGGGAGATCAGTTTTGAATGTGGTTGAAAGACGTGTATTGACATGTATTTTTTTTAAACACAACCTTTTTTTTTAAGATTTTATTTATTTATTTGACAGAGAGAGACACAGTGAGAGAGGGAACACAAGCAGGGGGAGCAGGAGAGGGAAAAGCAGGCCTCCCGCAGAGCAGGGAGCCCAACATGGGGCTCGATCCCAGGACCCCAGGATCACGACCTGAGGCGAAGGCAGACGCTTAACGACTGAGCCACCTAGGCGCCCCATGTATTGAACATTTTTCTTGATAAATGTACTAGTCTAGAGTTAATGTACTTGTAGGAGCTTTATGTACTTGTAGGGGGTGAAGGTAGGGTATTCACTTGTGATCATCCATAACTTGAACTTTTTCCACAAAGGGGATAAACAAAAGTGGTAGAGAAAAAGAAGTCTGATTTCCGAAACAGTAGATT